CGCAGCAATACAGACATACGAGTGTGTTCGGTCTGGGTGAGGTTGTGGTAAGGAAGGTGGTAGGTTAAGCGAGTGTGTATCAAGGCCTGGACAAGGCGTAGGGCATCCGCCTCTTTAAGGCCATGTCGACGATTTGAGACGCGACAAAGCATGTGCATAATTTGGTTGCACTGGGTGGTGAGTTGATGGAGGGTTTGAGTTGCTTTGGCGTTGGATTGTAACACAAAGCCAAGCACCCGTATGGCCGATTTATGCGGGACGGGTTTGTCGTCTAATGTGATGGTAATGGGGAGGTCGGTCTGTCCGCGAGCGTGTTTGGTCACGATTAGTAATTCTGACTTCGTGGGGGAACAGGTGAGGCCTCCACGCCGGGCGTAGTGCTCGATGGTAGTAGCGGCTTCTTGTAGCTGAGTCTCTATGTGTCCGAGGGAGCCTTTCGTTACCCAGACAGTAATGTCATCTGCATAAATTGCATGTCTGACATCCGAGATCTGATCCAGAAGGGGAGGAAGACCTCGCATGGCAAGGTTAAACAGGAGCGGAGAAAGTACAGAGCCTTGTGGTGTGCCACGGTTTGCCACTGGCGCGGAAGGAGAGCGAAGATGACCAAGGACGAGGCTGGCAGATCGGTCACGGAGGAAATTGCGCACGTAATTGTACACTTTCACTCCGCAGCCTGTGGCTGCCAACTGTTCAAGGACCAGGTCGTGGGAGAGGTTGTCGAAAGCCCCTTTAAGATCTGCGGCAAGGACTGAACCTCTGAATACGCAAGAATACAACACTTCCGGCGAATTCTTGATAGTTTTGTTTTTCTCCAACTTTTTACCCCGCAATTCGTCAATTCGTTTAGGTCGAAAAGACATAGCTTTGAATTTCCGAACCACTAAGCATGTGACGAGTAGTGCCTTCTGACAACGAGTTTCTAACAATGACCATCTACGCAATCTTTTATGCAGTGAAGAGCGACAGTAGCTATACATATGCATAAATAATTTCAGATTAAAATAAGCTCGACCACGCCCTCTTTCCCCGTATTGTTTTCTGTCGGCTTTTTGCGAGGCGATTTCTCCGTCCCAGAAAATAAACCTCCCGGACAATTGCAAACTTAACTTACTATATGCCAGCGTAACCCGGGCGGCGTTCGATCGGATTACTACCAGCGTGCAAGGGGTGGCGAGGTAGTTTGCCAGGTCGCTTCAAGGTTTTTCTGAGCCTCCACCTCCTGCCCGCCCCTGGCCGTTTCGAACTGGATGAGTCTCGTAAAATAGTGTGTTCGTGTGATCACTATTGCGTGATGCAGGTTATAGAACCCCCCCCCCCCCCCCCCTTCCCCACCCCGGGCTGGCGGTCACAATTACTGATCCATGGTCACGCGTCACTCTACACTGGCAAATATTCCAGCACATCCGGGACACTCGTCGCCTCATTTAATTGCGTGACCAACTTCGCAGAATCTAGATATCACACCCTAACTTTTCTGAACTTGATTTTGTGAAAACCAGTGAGTCGTGAAAACGTTATTTGAAACAAACTGTGGAGGAACTTGAAAACCGGACTTCGAACTTTGAAAACTTGGCCTAGAAAAAATTCAAAATCTTCGAAGTTTTTTTGGTTTTTTTTTTTTTTAATTTATCGTTAAAAGAGAATCGAAACCTTCGAACCTTTCGAACTTTATGCAGAAAGAAAATCGAAAAATTCGAATTGTTCGAACTTAATGTCAATAAAAATTCGAAGCGTTCGAAGTTTTCGAATTTTATTTCCAAAGAATTTCGAAATCTTCGAATTTATCGAACCTGAAGTAAACAAATATTCGAAATATTCGAATTCAAAATTTTAGAAACCGGGAAAGCTTCGAACTTTTCGAATTCGAAACTCCACTGTGATCGAAAGTTGCGAATTTTTTTAATTCGAACCTCGGTCGGTACGAAAATATCGAAATTTTTCGATCGAACCTCAGTTCGCTTCGCAAATATCGAAACCTTTCGAAATCGAACTTGGGGTGGTTCGCGACATCCCTACTTTTTACAGCTTTTTAGAATGGACCTTTTCGAGTAACTAGCGCCGTCTGGGGAGCTGTCTGCGAACTGTTGGGCCTCAGATCTCCCTTGCGGAGACGAGTCAACGCGCCAACCCCCGGTCACAGTCCGAGTTTCGCGGCGCTGACAATAGCGTCGCCACTGTCAGTGGCGCTGTGTATAGCGTCGCCACCGACAGCCGCGCTTGGGTGGTGGGGGGCTCTCATTAATATAAAAATACAAATATAAAGCTTTGTTTGCTAACAGTAATTTCAACAAAACGTCTTCGCCGCGCCATGAAAATCAATTGTAATCTATTTGATATAATTATTTCTGTTTGTTCCGTTTTCGGTCTGAAACCAAAAACTCTAAACTGACCCGCTCGCCTCGCCGGCGCCCTGGGCCTTGGAAGGCGCCGCTGCTCCCCTCGCCCAAATTTGAAACTTCGTAACGGCGGACGGCGGTGTCGCGTGGTTTTGTTTACCCAAGGGTCGTGCAAGCGTGCTTGCACGACCCTTGGGTAAGAAACCATAGTTGCGGTCGCGTAAGCTGAGAAACGGACCGTCGTCTTTTTCACTGGTGTCCGAAGAGCTTAGCTGGCTGGCTAAAAAAAAAAAAAAAGGAGGGGGGGGGGGGGACCCCAGGACCCCCCCCTGGATCCGCCCCTGACGATGTACCCACATACCCCTTTCTTTCTTAGAATGTATCAAGCGCATTGTTTCAGATTGCAATATTTTTTTAATTTCTGGCAGTACAACATATACGAAGATTTCATAAACAGCTGCACAATTACTAATATCTTAGAGTTTTGAGAAACATTTCTTCTATACTTATTGAGAGATGCAGTTCTTCGGTGTTCGAACATTTCATAAAAAGTGATGAAGTTGAACAGCACGATGACTCATTTATTACAGTTCCGAGGGAATTATTATAATGTTTATTGAGAGATGCAGATGTTCAGTGTTCGTTGTCCGGTGTGCTCAGCGATGCATTGTGGCCTAGTTTGACCTTTTGTGATATCTGTGGTTTTTTCGTTAGGGTCGTGATGTTTGCGGGAAACTCTACACAATCTTTGTTGATGCAGACCTAGTAAAAAAAAAAGATCAAATTAGAAAGGGTGCTTAGGTGCCGCTAAATGTGATAACGAACTTTAGCGGTTGATTGCAACATGCTGAATAAATTCCTCGACACGGTAGAAATGCCTTACACACGTGCATGATGTACATGTTTGCAAGCAATGTATGCTAGGCGTAACAAACAGTTAGTGCACGTTTCTGATTAAATTCGGCGGTGTTCGTACGCAAAAACCACGTCATCGCGGGGCGCACGCTGCATGCGTCATCGACGCACTGCAATCATGTGCACTTTCTCCTAACCTTCCTCGGCCCTCGCACAACCAAGTGAAGTCATATATGGCAAGACGCGCTACCACTCCCTATCCCTCTCTTTCTCATTCTCTCTTTCTCTCACCTCGCCATCACCACCCGCACAGCGGCAGCTTAGTTAGTTGGCGTGAAAATTGAATAATATTAGTCTATAATTCTACACCAATCTAATTTCTCCCACTCTAATTTAAACGTGAAACGCGTCCCCACCAAATCTAGTGGATATTGATCACGTGACGTTATCAGCATGGCAATGTCCACGTGGCATCAGTCAAGTAGAATGGCTGACGCCATGACTTGACAATGCAACGTAACGTGACCAGGTGACCGGTCGTGGTACCAACCCCGTTACCATCATATGCATTGTGCAGTGCGCGCAAAATTTATCGGGAACGCGCGAATGGCGTTTAATCTCATTGGAGCGCTATCCTGGTTGCAGTCAAAGAACTGCTCCTTGACGTAGCACTTAGTAGAACAGTCCGAGCAGTGAAAAGCGCTTGCTCAAGGCCGAAATCGCTGCTGGACCGGGAACAACAAAACAATTTTATTTAGCCCGCTAGTAGATCTTCGCGTTTTGCCTCATTATGATGAAACATCAAGTGCTTACTGAATAAATCATTCAATCACCGACTGTCTTCACAGTCACGTATGCATCGCCGTGCAAAAAGGTGGTGATAAGTATATATTGACCGACTGGCCAAATTGCTGCGGTGTCCATAGTTCAGCGAGCAGCCTCTCCCGCTTGGGTTGTGGGATGTTTCCTTAAAACTAAACTCTAAAAAAAAAAGGTGTATTATTACACCCTTTGTCCCATATAATACACCCCAAAACTACAGTTGGACGTACAGCGCACTGACGTCAATCTGACGGTACTGACTTTCATGAGAGGCTTGATAGCCGTGTGGTAATAGTTATTGAAATAGTTAATTTACGTGTTACTGACTACAAAATATAAAAAAAATAAATAATCAGGGGTTTCTTGACTCTACTGCAAAACCTCCGTGTTTTATTTTTCTGGTTTTTGATGCGTAGTTTACCTATTTAATAAGTTATATCGCACCGTTACCAAATGCCTCGTAAAATTTGGGGCCGTCTGTTCGACTATAGTGCAATGTACGCCGAACTGAAGTATTGGGGTGCATTATATGAGACAAAAGGGTGTAAGGTGATCCCCCCCTTTTTTTAGAGTGTACATCATGAATCAGTTCTCCGGCTGCCGCCATTATACATTTACCCGGAACACGTCATAGGTGGCACATCCCCCGCGACACCGTTGACATGTTCTGGTTAAGTTTGGTAAGCACTGTACGTATAGGACGTTCACAATACGTATGGCGCTCGTTGCATACATTTATGACCCCCGGATAAGCTCATAAATAAACAACCCACACCACTCGAACTCCTTTTCACCTTCTGCACATCCCAACGTAATTGCTAGGATTAAGGTGGATTAATATTTTTCCAGTTTCGGCCGAATTGTGCACTACTTGAAAGCGGACCACATTCATGATCTTAAAAAGACGACGTTTCATGATCTTAAAAAGACGTCTCTAAGGTACATACTTTTTTGGGGTCAGCCTTATTACAAGGCATGCCATCGGGAGCGTTGGAGATTACGAATCTCCTATTTGGTACTTCGCAGACAATGTGGCACGTGGCCATACCAAGAGCTGGCGTTAGTCCAGGAAGTTCCTGGCAAGATGGACATAAACACTGATGCAAGAACTCACAAAACTGTGTTTTATGGTGTAATTAATCATCGGAATAGACTTATACCTCAACGTAGCCTAATATTGAATGGTTCGGATATTCCAATTTACAGAATTCCAGTGGTGAAACGAGTGTTTTATTCCATCTCTGTAGCGAGACTCGTGCACTATGCCTGCTGGGACTATTTTTAAGGCACTCCCGGCTTGGATCTCTGCGAGTAGAAACAAGGAAAGTTTAGGAATTTAGACTAAACTATACTTTTTTATGGTTATCTTAAACGTTTACGGTTCTAATTGTGATGCGAACTAGTTAAGCGTAAAAAGTTTTCGTTGAGTTGGTTGGTTCATTATACATTCTTTTTGTGGCCAACTGAACAAATAGTCGAACGCACTTGACAGAAACCCTACAGGGAAGTTCGATGGGTTGGGATTTTTGCGCTGGAACTTACCTCGTTAAACCTAATAAGTTAAATGAAATGTTTTATTTTTAAAGACTTTTTAGGGGGCTCATTAAGATTACAAAAGCTACCATAAATTCTTTTCTCCATGACAGATTATGTAAGCCAGCGATGGCAGCGAAGCGTCTGGCGCCTAGCGACCGTGGGTTAGATCAATATAGCACCTAGAAGGCAAGGCCTGCCCCGCGCGTGTCGTCATCGCTAGTGCATGCCCGACCCTCCCTGAGCGTCAAATCCGCCTTGGCATCGCCGCCATCAAGCTCGTTGCAAGACGTGATGGCGATGATGCTGACGCAAGCTGTAGGAGGCATGCGTGGCTTGTCTTTCTCTACCGATGACGTTGGGGGGGGGGGGGGGGGGGGGGGAGGGGGAGGGGGAGGGAGGGGAGGGGAGGAAGGGAGAGTAAAGGCGCAGCCTTACCACCGAATTCAGAAACCTCACTCGAACTACACTCAAACTGAAGGGCCCCTCCACTTCCTCGAGGAAGGCGCGAGGGCCGGCGCTGGCCAATCGCGAGGACGGATCCGCCGTCGCGATTGGCCAGCGCTGGCCCTCGCGCCTTCCTCGAGGAAGTGGAGGGGCTTTTCAGTTTGAGTGTAGTTCGAGTGAGGTTTCTGAATTCGGCGGTTAGTCTTCAAGGAGGCATTAAATAGATTTGTGGCTGCCTCTCCGAAGCAACTTGCCCATCGTCGGCTAGTTTCTTCCTAGTGAAAAAAGCTATTTGTATGAGGAATTCCTTGTGTGCAATAAACACATGAATCATACCACTTATATAAGAACGCATAAGAACCATGTAAGAACTATATGAAAACTATATAATATATATAAGAACCATATAAGAGACTTATAAGAAAATTCTCAACTTTCTTGTATGGTTCTTAGGTGTGTGTTGGGCACAGAAATTTCTCATACAAATGAGATTTTTCAATAGGGCTAAGCCTGGTTGCTTCAGACCTCCTCCGCGGTTGCCTGGCGGAGTTTTAGCTTCGATTTTTCATGAGGGATTGCGAAGATAGGCGTCGTCGTCGTTGTATTTGAATGCGTGATCCCATATGCGAGGATCAGCAGAGTGCAAACTGCTTCCATCCTCGACCACTGCTCGTTGTTCACGGTTTTACGTTTGACGAAAAGTCAGTGAGCGTGCCGGCAAGCTAGCGATATTATAATGCGTAACGCCCGAGATTTTGGTGAGGGAAAAGCGAATATACTTCCAAGGTCAAGGAATAAAACCCAGCAGAAGAGACGTCTCAAACTCGGCTGACTGATTTATTTCTCTCGCTTCTTGTATAGTCCACTTTTTCCTGACAGCCGCCATGTTAAATTCTGACCTAGCTGAATTTGGACAGAATAGCAATTCACTTTATTTGCGTACTTGGAACTGCTAGATTTGGAAGAGGTTCGTGCAATCAGTTCTACTTTTTTCTTGACTATACTTTATGATTGTATCCCGTACGAAAATGTCAGATTCAGGCCGGAATGAAAAATGCCGGTTCTGCCTAGACCCAAAATTGGGGCACCAGTTCGTATCCAGCCTGGAACCGTGCGTTTCCAGCCCCAATTTTAAACCCAGGCGGTGCACCGCTGGAATTCCCGCTGCGCTTACCGCCGGACTCTACAAAAGAATTTCGTGTTATGCCCTTAGCTGTTACAACAGAGAAATCGTCGCAATTTCAGACCCAGGCGGACTGGGTCTGAAATCCCGACGATCTCTCGTTTGTAACGGCTAAGGGCATCGCACGAAAGACTTGTAGAGTCCAGTGGTGAGCGCAGCGGTAATTATGGCGGCGGAAACGGTCGTCCAGGCGTCGTCGCGTCGTCATTAAACACAGTGCACGGAACACACACACAGCACGCAAAGCACGGTATCCAGTGTTGGAGTGCATCGGGAAGTTCCGGCGGGCAAGCGGTATCCGAGTTGTCGAAGTAATGTCACCAAGCACACCAGCACATCCAAATGCCGAGCCAAACTGCAATGGGTCGGCAGCTTCACACTATATAAAGATTCAAAGCCAAGGCAGTGGGTATCCATCCAGGGAAACGATGGGCGCGTCAGTATCCGTGCGCCCGCAGCGCGAACGTCGCCGCCGAGCGAGCGCCCGCGCCGGCCGGCAGTCCGACGGGAGCGGAGAAGAACCGAAACTCTCGAAGCGCTGCCGCTGATTGCAACAGACAATGAATGCAAGGCGCGCGTCGTCACCAAACACGGTGCACGGAACACACACGCAGCACGCGCACAAGCACAGTATCCAGTGTTGGAGTGCATCGGGAAGTTCCGGCGGGCGAGCGGTATTCGAGTTGTCCAAGTATTGTCACCAAGCACACCAGCGCCAAGCGCATCCAGATGCCGAGCCAAAGTGCAATGGGTCAGCCAAGCCGAGGTCAGTGGGTATCCATCCAGGGCAACGATGGGCGCGTCAGTATTCGTGCGCCCGCAGCGCGAACGTCGCCGCGCTGCGGCGACGTTCGACGACAGCGAAGAACAAACTACAAAGCCAGGCGCGCGCGCGGAGAACGCCCGCTCGCAGCGCTCGCGTAGCGGATGCGCCTGTCCCTGACACGTGACATCCGAGAGACCGCGGAAGTTCCCCGCCGACCCCCCCCCTCCCCCCAACCCCACCCCTCCCTCCCCTCCTCCAGTCACGCATATGGGCGCCCACTGGCTGGGAGCAGACCCTACAGGAACAAGGGGAGCGGATCGGATTCACCGATCACCGTGCGATTCCATTGCGTTGCGTCTCACCAGATCCGACTGGTTACACCCAGAATCGTGCGGATCGGAACTGCCCACAAGTTTAGAACCCCGCGGATCCGAACTGGAACCGCTCCGATCTGACATTTTCGTACGGGTAGTTATGCTTCAATATTAATATTTTGTCGCCCAACTCAGCTACGTCATATTTGAACATGGCGACCGTCACACGAAAACGGTCTAAGCAGCGTTTCCTCCCCAAAATAAAACTTTACTGTGTTTCACCGCAAAAATAAAATACACGTCGCCCATCGCTGGTTTTCCGCCCACATGTATCACTAACTGTTCGAACCAGATGCCAAAGTTTGAGCCCTAACCGCTATCTTATTCAAAAGTTATAAGTGATTTTCAGAAAGTTTGAATCAGAAAATGGGGCATTTTTTTTCTTGTTTTCGGTAACTGGCGCCATAGAGCTTCATGTCTTCGAAAGCTCTGTCGGCAGCCATTTTCCCATTGACAATTTTAGAAAATCACTTATAAACTTTTAATCATAAGAACAAGCAAATTGTTGTGTGTATGTTTATACTGCCGGAAGTTAGTCTGCTTCAGTGGGCGTCTGGTGTCTCAGCTGTGGATGAGGAATTTAGCCAGTGCGGTACAACCGCTAGCCTCGAGTCTTTATCGTGCACCACGCAGTAGTAATACACGACCGCACGACGGTACGATGCTCATTCAGATCGAAACGGGCAGGGTTGGGGATTGAACCCAAGATCCCTGGGTTCTGCAGCGCGAGCTTTCGCTCCACATGCTCCGAGCTGGTGGCGTGCGCTAGCCCACTCGGCCACCGATCCCCCCAATCAAAATAACGGTTAGTGCTGAAACTTTGGCATCAGGTTGAGACCGCTAGCTGTACATTTCCTTGGAGATTGAGGGTTCGGCTTTGCATTGTTTATTGTTGCGGTAAAGAAATACCTGTAGATTTTTTGAGGGAACCTTGCGTGCACACGAAGCTGTCTTTTTTCGCGGACACACCCTCTGTTAGAACAACAATAGAATGTACAGCGTATCTCCCCAAAATGTTTAGTGTTTTTGTTTTGTTGTTTTTATGGCAAAAATAGGCTACGCATTGCTGAACGATCATTCACCACCTAAGCCGCGCTAACGATCCAAAAGCGATGCAAAATTGCAGAACTATCCGTTTTCTCAGTCAGAAGTTATGTGATTTTCAGAAAATTTCAATGTCAAAATGGGGCCCGTTTCGCCTGTTATCTCTAACTGGAGCCATTGAGCTCCATATATTGGATAGGTCCGTCGGCCGCCATTTTCCGATATAAGACTTCAGAAAACTCCCTATAACTTTTGAATAAGATAACTGTTAGCTATGGGAGTCTGGATCTGGTTTCAACCGCAAGCTACATTTAGGCGGAGAATAAACGTTCAGCGATGCAGCTTATCCTAAATATATATATATATATATATATATATATTTGTAGTTTTTTCTTTTTATTTAGAGGGGGAGGGCTCCAAACAAATTATTGGGGCTGAACTGAAAAATCAACAACAAGAAGGAAGTGAAGGCACCATGTGAAAAGAAACACGGTACAAAGATGGTGGACACTGCCACGTCAGCGGTCTCCGAGATACTAACGGCAGCGGAAAGCTGCAGGTGTAGGCCTGACGGGGCGCTACATGAACGACATGGCGCGCAAACACGGGATATCGATCAAAAAAATCTCCCTCGGGCAATGTTGCTGTTCGCTATAAGAATTAAGTGCCCGTGTGCACCGTATATGCAGAAAATCAAAAGTCTTGGAAAACAGAAAAAAATAAAAAAACAACAAAGAGAAAGTTTTTTGGAGCATACATTATAAGGCTGGCATGAGAGGAAAGCTGCGTAAGTGAACCGTCGGTGCCCCTCACCGATAAGGAACTCGGCTTCTTATGGGGGAAGCGCGATTATGAATATAAATATAATTGTGTATTTTCAATAAAACTTTCGGTTGTAACTAGCGTTCTGTGCTGTATTGACTTCCTTGTCCCAGTTTTTTAGAGGTGCTTTAATCTAAAGGAACCAGTGTTTTCTTTCATTGTAAGCAGTGTAAAAAGGCTGCAACGCAGTCTGTCACCCTCCAAGGCAAATGACTCAACGAGTATGAATAGTTACAGAAACGTTCTTACCCCACAAACATGTAGAGCTGCTGGGCGCTGCAGTAGGAAAATTTGTGGATGCTTGTGACGCCCATCGAAGGGCTCATGATATATCTTTCGCTGGCAGGGCATCCCTCGGCTCCAACGTTGTTTTTCACGTAGGTCTGTGGGGACGACCCGTCATGAGCTATTCCCAGTCTGGAGATGTGCGGCGTGGAGTTGAACGGAAAGTGGTAAATTGTGGTGTAGTATTAGTGAAGTTATATTCGAGGTAACTTCTGGCGATACATCGGCATACAATTAACAAAGTAATTGTTTTAGTTCTTAATAGCTTCTATAACCTAACACTTCTAAACATTTCAATCCGTCAAAATAAATAAAGTGTAGTAAAAGGGTTTGTGTATTTGTAATATTGTGTTACGTCAGATTTGCGTATGTAACCTCGATAATGAAATTAAGTCAATGACTGAGACCGGTTTTATGGGACTGTATCGTTTGTTGAGCAAGTCCAATTGTATACGGGTGGCGATGTGGGTCAGTTGGTTCATACTGACGAAAATGCAAACAGCGCACAGTAAACGGGGACTAAAGGAAGTGCAAACAGGACAAGCGCTGCAGCACTTGTCCTGTTTGCACTTCCTCTAGTCCCCGTTTTCTGCGCGCTGTTTGCCTTTCCAATTGTATACGTGACAAGAAAAAAATAAAAGACGTTTACAACTTCCCGTAATGCCTAATTAGAGCGTACCTGTTGAGGAGGAGGAAAGGAGGGTACGGAGGGGAGGGAATGCCCTCCTCCCCTCCCCTCCTCCTCTCCTGCTCGCCTCCCATTTAGCGGGCAATTTTTGCTGCCTTTCCCGGTAAATTCAGTGGAAAAAATTCCCCGCTAAATTTAGCGGGGATCTTTTTCTGTTAAATTTAATAGGGAAATTTTTTCACTACATTTAGCGGGAAAATTTGTTCACTATATTTAGCGGGAAAATATTTCCGCTAAATTCAGCAGTTAATTTTTTCGCTAAATTTAGCGGAAGAAATGCTCTCCTCCTTTTTCTCCTCCTCACTCGTGACGTCACATGTGACGTCATTATGGGACCGTACCATAGTGCAACGCGTGGTTACGCCGACAGCGACGCCGCTGAAGCGAGAAATGGGCGCCGAAGAGCTGCACTCTAAAACGTTTCATTTTACAAATAAGGCTCTCTTAAAACGTACATTAATTCTTTTAGTAAGAAAGTACTTGAGAGATCGGGCTATATCTAATAATTGTCTCAGCTAATTGTCTGGTGCAGCACTTTTGCACAAGGCAACTCCATTTTCGTTAAAAGAGGCACTTCCAAGTTATGCAAAAATGAAGTTGTCGCTGACAACTGTCGCGTGTTGCAGGTGGCGAAAACATTTCTGATCCTTGCAAAAGATCACCAGCCTTTCTGCAGCCTATTCATTCTGAAGTAACTCACAGGTGCCCGCATTCGTGGGCAAAGGTGACGACTCCGCTGAACGTTTTTGGCACATCTTCTACAAGAGCTCCTCTTGTCCACAAACCGCACGCACCTCCGAGATTCGCCATCCCTGAGGGAAATTCAAACCGAGCCTATTCAGCAATACGTAACATAGAGCGCGTCCGCACGTCGGCTTCCTTTCTTATGGTTAACTTCTCTATGCTGCCGTGTGGCCCGTGTACCCTTTGAAAAGAAGTCATTGACCTGCCTTTTGCTGCTGAACACGGGTACAGCCCATCACCGCAAATTATAAAAGGATTCCAGCGAAGGACGAAGCCCAGATTACAATTAGATCTAAAAACGCGATTTTCACAGCAACAGTGAGTGAGTGACAAGCCACGCTCATTGTGACTGCGCACATGACATTTGGTTGGTCTAATCATGTTATGAGCTCTGCCATTCGCAGAAATCGTTTTGTTGTTTGGCGCGATTTTCCGTTTCTTTCCTCTGCAGGAACGTCAACTCACAAATTTTTTTTAGAGTGAATAAGGCTGTTCTCTCACAAAAGCTGTTGTTAGCAACATAACCAGCACAGCCCACCATAGGTCGGCCTTTCTGGATCCCAGTTTCTCAATATCATATCACGTTTACAACGCTTTTACACAATTCAATCACACTCGTATCTCGAATTTTTCAGAGGTCCAAAGGTCACCGTATCACGAAGTCTGTCAAGATTTAAAATGCCACCCATATCACTTGGCTAAAAAGTAAAGAGAACCTCGAGACTTATCACATTACCTGCGACTTTCGTTATGAACAATATTATTGATATCACCCAAGTCAAACTCACATATATCACGGATTCACAAATGTCACGAAATATCACCGTTTTCACCAACTCACAAATATCACGAAATATCACCGGTGTCACCGACTCACAAATATCACGAAATACCTCCGATATCACTGACTCACAATATCAAAAAGTATCACCGATATCGCATAGGCAGTGACGAACCTCGCACGGTAAAATAAAAGGCACAAATCTTCGTATATAGCTAAAGGTATGCCGACATCCTTGAGCGAGGTATCGCCGAGTCTACGCTCGTGGATACACATTTGCACACAAGTCGCTGTTTTGCGCTTAGTATGCACGCTATATATCCAATGGAGCTGTTTTTGACAACGATTCCTGGTACAAACGGTTTCAAATACTTCCCAGAACCAGAGCATAAAGCAAGCGAGACAAGTGGCTGCAAGAAAAGACCCGCCTGCAGATGTCAAATCTTTTAGCGCGTACATATGGTACCTAATAAGACATAATGATGAGAACATAATGAAGGCGCCAGTGGAGGCTGGAGTAGAGCACTGCACGGGCCCACTTCTTGGGACTCGGGGCTGCTGACTCTTAGTCTTTCCCTACCCAGACCCGGCCCGATGGGATGCCTACCTGATCAGGCCCGTCCCGGAGCCGACCCGGGGAGAGGCCAACGTGTGACTTATCTCTTTAATTCAAAGCTGCCCTGGGAAGGTGTTGCATTTGATTCCTTTACTAATTTGTCTGAAATACGCTGTCATTCTCCAGTCACGAGGTGAACCCTCGAAAGCTTACACAGATATAAAAGACGTAGTTTATCTTTGATAGTCAGAGGCGTTTTGATTATCTTCAAACGTTCGAAAAGGAAAAGGGAAGACAATCGTACTGTTCCCTGTGACTGGATCGCCCTCGATTTCTTGCCTGCTGGCCCTGTCCCGCTATGGTGATGGAACCCCCAGGATTCTACTCCGTATCTTCTTGGGGGCTTTCTTAGTTCAATGCAGCTTCCTTTACTCCTAAGTTCTTTTTAGTGGCATCGTAGCGAGTTCGTACTCCAGCTTTTTCGTTTCTTTCAAACCCAAACGATAAATGCGTTAGCATTTTCTTCTGAACGTTTTAGAAACTGTGCTACACCATGCGGCCGGATGGACTTCATGGACTACGCCGGACCCTGCCCCGTCGTGCCCGCGTGGGTGTTTTCCTGATGTTGAGAGGTCGGATTCGGGCACGAGCGGGCAAGGGGACCTGGACGTCCACAGTTGAATCTGTGGCGCCAGTCAGGCCTACGACGCCTGTACTGCGGGTTGTCGGGTAGGGGATTCTGAATTATGGGGCGGACGGCGGAGGTGATGTCTCTGTTCGTCGCGTCCATTTCCAGAGCTTGACCCAGTGCAGCGCTGAGTGTGGTAGGTCGAGCGAGCCGCACAAATCGCTGAATTTCGGAGCTGTGGATGGCATCGATGAAACTGATGTAGTCATCAGGTGAAGGGTGGCTTCAGAGAAACCTAGAATTGCTTTTCTTCCCAGTCTATCGATAGTGTTGGTCAGTTCTTGGAGTGATTCTGTGCCCTGGCGATAGGTTTTGAGTGACGCGAGGTTTAACTGCTGCAGATTGGCATTATTAAAACGAGCTTTTAATGCTTGCAGGAGGAGCTCATACGTGGTTCGACTTGAATACTGTACACCTTCAAGGAAGTCGGCGGCTTTCCCACGGAGCTGGGCGACCAAGGCTGCAGCCTTGCCATGGAAATGCCACCCATTGTGTTGGGCTACCGTTTCAAATTCGATGATAAATGCTGGCCAAGATCCAAGTCCATCAAAAAGTTACAAGTTTGAGGCGGATACCATTGGAATGTAGATCAGCAAGAACATCCTGGGGTTTCACCGCTTCATTGGGTGGGCGGCAACCTACGGAAGATGTTTTTTGAACTTGTGGAAGGTCACCTGAGTCTCCTGGTCGCACGGTTGGGAGAGCTTCTTCAAGGTGCTGCAGGCGGTCTTGGACAGACGAGAGGTGGTGATGGACCTCGGTGAGTTGTTGGTTCACGTTCTCTTCAACGTGAGTGACGCGGGTGGCGAGGCGACTGTCGAACTGTTTAAGCAGAGTTGTGGCATCTGCCGTGCTCTTTTCCGCCAACCGGTTGTAGAGGCGTTCAGTAAGCTCGGCCCACTTTGCCTCCGCTGTTGCTGCATGGGAGCGGGTATTCATTCTTTTTGGAAAATCGCTGCCACCATTTGTTACGGGCAAACCAAAAGCCGCTGTTCTAGTCTCGTTTCTTCGTCTTCTACTACTTTCTCTTCCATTCGTCCACCCCTTCTACCTTCACCGTTACCGTTATATATATATATATGAATTTGTCGAATAAACCTAGAACATGACAGATCGCATAATGTTTATCACTTTTAATATGTTTATTAGAGAAAACATATGTAATATTTTTTTTCAATGTGGATAGAGTTACTTCGAGTAGAGTCAGGACGATTGAGTTTCCCAAATTTTCGACCAAAACAAGGAGAAACAAAAGGCTCACCAGCAATGCCCAGGCCATAAGACTTGTTAGTAGTCGCATTCACGTAGCCTACGTCCATCCTATGGAACGGAGAGAAAAAAAGTATAAACGCACTGACTACGAGCCACGACATGAAAAGATGTCAGGACGTCGTTTTTTGTCGCATTATTAATATCTTGTAAAAATATGAAAGTAAGCAAATTGTGGAGATCCGAAGATTTTCCCCAAGGACCTTCGGAAGCGGTGATCTGCGGTATCGTAACTGACAGTTTAAAAAAGCGCAAGGCTTGGCTCATTTAGTTACGCTACTTGCTAATGCTGTAACTTCATTGGCCGAGGTGCGATAATAAGATGATTGGACGCACCACGCATGGCGCTTCTTGTGCTGCCAGTGACCATGCTCGGTGTCACATCAGAAAGGAAAAGGAAGTTTTGCGCATTATTCATGCGCTGAGGAAAGTAGTTCTTACAAAATTTGGTTGTTGAAGAGAGAAACTATGCACTTAGCGTTTGAAACGTGTGCATCTTAATAAAATGACATAAAGATAATCTAAGGTGCAGCCACAAATATCGTAATTCAGCACATGAATGGTCAAATTAATAACGTTTTGCGAGAAACCGGACCTTTTTTTTTTTGTTTTAACTGGTTTTCGAAGATTTCGAAAAACGGTAAACCGTCAGTCGCATACTTAGAAAAATCTTTGGTTATAGATAAAAGTGATTATTTTTTTCCATTTATCATTTCATTCATTCATTGATACTGTCGACCCGTTAGCGTTATTGCAGTGGTGGAAATCATTAAGTAAAATAAACAATACATACGGGTTAACAGAAATAATAGAGGAACTAAACAGTCGCCCAACAAGAAACGCCAACATCATGCCACAGATAATCAGAGCGTGGGTCGAAAGGTAGAAAAATATCAGAGAATAAAAAGGCAAGACATATTCACCTTCATGGATACGATACGATATCACTCGTATCCCTAACTGCAGTTGGCATTTCAAAACGATATTTTCTGTGCCTTTCAAAAATGCACAAAGAGAAGTACTGTACACGACACTAATTTTCCGGGTAAAGCATTCCACTCTTCATTTGCTCTAGCGAAAAAATTTAATTTTGATCAGTCCTGACAAAGATTTAGCTTTGGAATAAACACGCTATGGCGATGCCTTGAGGATTCGCATGTGCGGAATTCAAACTAGTCGGATTTTTGAATTTTAATGTGATTATGAATAATAAAAAAAAAAAACAAAAAAAAACTACTTTTTACCCATGAGGTTTAGCTTTAAATTCTGGTGATTAATGTTGACGAGTTCACACAGTTGTGCATGAATAGGCAAATGTACTATAGCCCACTTGCCTATTCATCGAAATACTCGTAAACGGTGTGCAGACGGGCATACGCTTTTGCACGTCGCTCATCGGCACGTATCTTTCACATCATGATGAACTTCGCTGTTGAGTTGAACACGTGTTTTTAGCGCCGCGATTGCGAAAAACCGTGCTTTGATATATATGGGGATTCTCGGGAAGGTAAATGACGGAAATGCATTCGCCGATCCCGGAGGGGTGGTCATGTTCCACGGAGGATCCTGTGGAGGAGCGCCTCCGTTCCATTAGAGTTGACCAACATGCAACTTATTGCGACCACAAAAACGTTGGGCTGCCTCCAGTACACTCTACCGTAACCTTACAGAAGGGTGAGCCCGTCGGGAGAATTTGTCCATAAACTTAGAAGTAGTCCTTATGCACGCACTCAATTTATGTCAAGAATCAGGAAGAATGTTATACCTAACGTGATTTGAATTTTATAATTTACAACCGTTTTTTTTCGTTTTTCTAATTAACTTATGGGGCGTATATTTGGATCTTAACGGATCACCGAGTTTACATATTAACAAATATTTACGTCATTCATATTGAAAACAAGAAAGTTTTTTTTTGTCCGTGAAAATGCTAAAGCTTGAGTTTATTTTTGATCAGAAACGGAGTAATTATGGTCTTTCCGCTTAACCTTTGTGACAATGCGCAAACGACCAAAATATATTTGCACGATCAATGAATTACGAAATGTCCCGCAGCCTTTTTCCGGTTTCGTTTACGTACCCGGTCAACAGTACTACCATGTCATCGTTTCTGAAGTCGTCCGTTCTTCCCACGTAGGTGCTGAAGTTCCATAGTGTCTGACCCATCATGATTGTTGGGTGGTGCTCGGATCTCGTTATGAAAGGTTCCGAAACATTCTGTAAAAACATATGGACGTATAATTAGTACCCTAGTAGAAACTGAAATACATAATAATAATAATAATAATAATGAAGTTCATTTCCCATTCGATACAGGAATGGAGGAAACAGAGGGAAAAGCTGTTGAACAGCTTGACGGAGCCCCCTGCTCCCTTACAGTTCCACATGACAGATTAGAAATACAAAGCAAGAGCAAAAATATCAACATTGTATACAAAAGTAGATTATAACCTAGTGCAGAAAAGTAATATGTTCAATTCAAATAAGAAAATAAATTTTGCATTGTTACAGACATTATATCAACGTTTTTGTTTAAGAGGAAATTTAGTAAAGTAGGTAGCATATACTTTAGAGACTGCATGGAATAGTTGTTATGGCAAAGAGGCACAGCCCAACGTGCCGCCGAACGAGTTGGATAGGAGGTAACACGTTCCCTTAGTTTAGAAAGTTTGGCCAAAATATCCACGTTTCTTTTTTTTCCTACCTTGAAACGGACCATAAGTTTATACGTATACATATCGAAAACACGCAACAAATTATATTTTTCAAACAAACCCTTGGAGCTTGAAATATAAGGAACATTAGCAATGAGGCGAACATTTTTTTTTGTAATAGATGTATTTTTTTTTAGATTTGAACTGGTGGTTGTACTCCATACCAGGTGGCAGTAGTTTAAGTGGGATGCAAATAGAGTTTGATAAATAAGTAGTTTAACGTTGTTTGGTAAAATAAAACGGTTTCGTGAGACTTATCCGATGACCCTGGACAATCGAGGAAGTATATAGCTTACATGGTCGTCCCAAGACAAATACTGGTTAAAAATAACACCAAGACTTTTAAACTTTTTCACTATCTCTATAACATTTGAATTTATTACGAGACTTTTCGTTATAAAAACGTTTTTATTTTTGGTTCGAAAGAAAATTGCTTTGGTTTTATTACTATTAATTTTAAGCCCGTTGTCGGATGTCCAGTTTTGCAACCCTGTTAAAGTATCATTTGCGCAGTTGATAAGTTCATTACTAGTCTTAGCCGAAAATAAAAGGGTTGTATCGTCTGCATATATAACAAAACGTTATTGCTTATTTTGCATTGCCCCGCAATACAATGGAAGCAGCCATCATCGACCTGTTTTTAATTAGATTATTGTAACCGAATTCTTGGTAAATGCGGGTGCGGCGTGTGCCAATCCTCTCGTTATCGCTCAGAGCCAATGAAATTCCCGTGATTTTGATCGACATCGGCTTCGTAAATTCTTGTTTTTGTTTTTAGATATTAAGATTGGGTATTAAAAAAAAAAACAAAAAAACGAAGCTGATATTGCGGCGGTCGCTTCGCTGGTTCTCGACGAAATGCGTTAGCGTTTAGCTTAGGGGTTCCGACTCAGCGAAGGGGGGGGGGGGGGGGGGGGGGAATTCTAATCTCACAGCGGTCCGGATATTGTTGTTTTCGGAGAGCCACCGGAGCTATCCTCGATCGTCGCCTACGGTCTTCACATACTTGGCTGCTTGGCTCTGCGTTCGCGACACGTCGACCTTACACCGAAGTATGAAGAGCAGCGCGCAAATGATCGTCAAGTTGCAACAAGTATTCGATGCCATCTCCAAGGCAGGACTGACATTGCGTCATTCAAAGTTAGAGTTAGGAAAAAAATGAAGTGGAACACTTGGGTTTCGTGCTCACAACCAAAGGAAGAAAACCAGGAGCGCGAAAGTCGGCAGCACTAACGGGGCCACCAATGCCGACAAACGTGACGCGGCTGCGAGGTTCATTGGATTCAACACGTTTGTTCGGAAGGTTTGTGCCGTACTATGCTGCCCTTGCAGCACGTCTGCACATGCAGACTGTTCAAAGTCTCAAACTGGTTCCAGGAGGTCAGAAGACGTGGATCGCGGCTTCAATGAGTTGAAGAACAAGTTTGTTTTTGAATCCAGTTCTACAGGCCGTACTTCATACAGATGCAAGTTCTAAAGGAATGGACGGCATGTTTCTGCAGAAGGACGATGCTGTAAGTCGACGCACGAGCAATGTGGAACAATATTACCACTCCAGTCGGCTTTGACTTCTTGCAGTCGTGTGGGCAGTGGAAAGACTGCGGTGTTTTCTTCTTGGCTTGAAGTTTACGATAGTGACTGACTGACTCGGATGGCGCATATATGGACGCCCTGAGCCGTGCACTCATTGATGAACGGTGTCAGATTGTCGTTTTCCTAACGTATGTTTTGTTCCAGCGAAACGTCTGCGTCTTTATTGCACGGGGCAGTGATATTTGAGCAGGGTCAGGTTCTTTCTTGTTGCAAGGTCTTTTCGACAAAATTCGTACCTGGGAGTGTAGAGGGAGTGACTGCGGTTTCTATGTTTCAAATAGTCTTGTGACTTGCTTTGAGTCCAAGCATCAGTAGATATAATATTTAAACTTGTTTTTAAAACGTTGCGCAGAAATTGTTTTTTTTCCTAAATTTTTTGCTTAGTTCATGAATAAAAAACTAATGTTTTCAATCAAAAACCGGGCTAATTTTAATGACAAGTTACGAGTAACATAATTGAATAAAAATTCTAAATATAGTAACGAAAATACTTTATTCGTTAGTGAATTTTAATGCTAACGAGTACGTTAGAGCGTTATTGGGAAACAGTAACGCGGGTACCAGTAATATCCAGTTTTAGTGGACCGAACTTTGCGTACGAAAAACAAAATTGCGTGTCGACAGTGCGCATGCGCAGAACGCAATAGAAGGGCTAGCGTATTGCGTACGCACGCGACGCAGGGGTTTTTGCGCAGCGGGCTAGCGCTCTTTGCGGGAAGCTCTCGAGAGATCTCGGGCCCAGCGAGAGCACGAGTTTCAAGATGGCGGTTACCTCGACTGGCGCAGCAAGGGCGACGTGGTGTTCGCGAAGTTCAATATTGTGTGAAATTGAGTGGTGTTCGGCTCGCGGTCGGATCAGATCGCCGTGCGGCTGAAGGAGTGCACAGTGAGAGTTCACCGTTCGCAATGTGCATGAACGCTGCGATCTGCTCAGCGCTAAGCCTCTTCGCACTGTTAATCGCCCGACAGACGAACGACTCTTCTAAAACTCGCCAAAGTTGGCGCCATGCGCTGGACATCAGTAGGTCATGGCTCTCTTCTCGCAGTAGTATAGGTTACAAAGTGCCGCTTCCACGGGACTATTGCCGGAGGCTCCGTGATCGAAATTGGCTACGCATTAGTACTCGTAGCCTCCGTATACCGCGCGGAAAAGCGCGCCTGACCAGGCAGCTGCGGCTTGGTTTTACTCAAAATAAAATGATCGGAAATATTTTTTCCCTTTTTCAATATTTCCTTTGAGGAGCATGGTGGCGCTATAAGCACGCGGAATTCACGGCTCTGGCAAATTTAACCAAGATCATGCGAGGTGTTCACTCGGAAACATAACCCACAACTACAATCGGTTTGAGCAGGTCGTTTTTAGCATGCTCTTTACTATTGCGTGTTACGTACGCAAGAGCCAGCAATGCTATACTAAAACTGTCTGATGTCGTTACTTGTAACGCGTGACTTCCAACACAAGCCTCATGTCGTCCCGCCCGTCGCGTGCCGCGCAAGAGCGAGCGAACGTGAACGTAACAAGCGAGCGAACGTAGCGAAAAAGCGCGGCGGGAACCGCTCCGTGGCTTCACGAAATCAGTTCGCTCTAGTCTAATCCAGTCCAAACCACGACAACCCAAGCAAGAGATGGCTGCAGTCATTAATGCAATAAATGCTAACGCAGTGAAAAAAAAAATAAATAAAACGACGGACGCCACTGTAGAAGGAATCGTCTCGGTAACGGTAAGCTTAACCGGCAGGGAAGCTAGTTTAGCGAAATGCTTCCTCAGTTATTTCTTACTAAAATAGATACTAAACTTATTGTCGTTTAGACCTAAATCAGAAATATAGACCAGGAGAGTGCTCTCAAATTAAATACACATTTTTTTAAATTATTTTTGTATTTTGCGGACCGCACCTCGTACCTCAAAGATGCAATCTACAAAAGAAAAATGGGTGAATATTAGGAGGTTTTTGTAGACATTTCCCCCCCCCCCCCCTTTACTACGCTGTCAGCAATAAGGACACCGCTAGTGCGCATGCTCGCCACCAGCCTTGCCTGCCGAGTTCCTCATGTCCTAGCGGGGAAATGATGTACGAAAACATCTTAACGGAGCGCGTAACGACGGAAACTTGGAAGACGTCTTACGTGAAAAATGGTGACCTTGGTCACGACGAGCTGCACGTCCACGTACTTCATAGTGCTATATTTCAGATTCACCTGCAAAATATAGCATCCAACATGAAAGAGGATAAACCAAATATAAGCACCGAATTAAAAAAGAAAGTTTTGTTTAGGTGTGTTTTTGCTGGAAAGTGATTCCAGTGGAGACGAGTAAGAAGGTAGAGTGAGAAATGTTCCGTAGGTCAAGGACTGGAAGTGAATTTAACAAATATATTACTGTAATTATATTCATTAAAAATGATTCTAGTAAGACAGGCATCTGTCGGGGATAAGGGACATATTTATTCATGAAGAGATTTTAATCTATGACTTGTTTGACGTCATTTTATAGAAAGCTCCGTTCATCTCGGGGATCCTTCGGAAGGCAGTTATTCGGAAATATCTTTGGCGCATCAGCAATTTGCCCACATGTTATATAAAAAAAAAAAAAGCAAAATTCAAAATGTTGTGTTAAAAGCGTGCATTGCGCACATCTCTCACTATTGAGTCCGTTCCAGTAGTTCAACTCCGTAAGACAACCGGAATGTTTATGCCTGCCTCTGGAATTCGTGTTGATGCAACATTTGTATTTTGTCTGAAAGAGTTATCAAACTACCGCAAGACGAACATGAGCACATTTTGAATACCTTTATTTTTCGGCCATCTAGGTAACGTGCTCGATAGACTAGCAATATGAGGGCTTTACACGTTTTAGGGAACGGAGAAGTTCGATACCCAAGGGGGAGTTGCCAGGGCTTCCTGAGTTGCGATCTGCGATTATTGCGATCAAGGTGGGGCAACTCATGCTAAGTTTTTTTGTTGAAGATGAAGAGTGGAAGGGAAATGGGGACACGTGTAAGTCGGTCACCCAACATTGCTTACGTCAAGTTCTGTAGCAAGTCTTCAAAACAGTCTCGTTCAATGTAAAGAAAAAAAAAAAAAAACAGAAGAAAGACAAAACGTGTAAGGGGTAGTAACGGCATAGCTGCCGAAACAGTTTCGACCTGTCTTTGACACAATGCATCGCGCTATGTATGATGATGCCTTTTGGCTGAGTAATACGTATATTGTAAATGTTTGAGCATAAAGGTATGAATAAGTGACTCGGTGGGCTATTCCACCTTCTTTGCTATCTCAGGCTCGCTGACGTTGAGAGATGCCATCTGCCGCGTAACCTCGTGTGTCGCATAGGAGCGTCACGCGAACCGTTGTTAAGACTAGGGGCCCTAATCTGGACATTTGGCGAAAATGTCGGCCAGAAATCCGGCGGCTGTGATTGGCCGGCGCCAAGGTCAAGTGCGGCGTTGGCCAATCGCGGCCGCCAGACTTGTCGCCGACGTTTTCGCTAAGTGTCCAGATTAGGGCCCCAGATCGATGAGACATTCTGTGATACAGGGGAAGCCACGTGAACAGTCACGCTGCATGGCCGGCGAACGCCTGGCGCAGGGTAACGGCGCCTGGGAAGCACGCTTTAGGAACTGCTGCTGTGCCAACCTCCCCTGCGCTATGGCACGCTCGCGAAAATCCAATTCCCGACGGGTTTGCACTAAGGTCTGTTTGCACAAATGCAGCGACGCGGGCTGCCCTTTCACCGATCTGGCAGTCGGCCAGTTTTGCTTTAATCCGTTTCGGTGCCCATTGTGCGTTTCTGCGACCGATCAGCTTTTTTCGTGCGAATGGTCAGGAGAACATTTCCTCCTCTTGCTGTTTGCATAAAACAGATATAAAACAAATATATTCGTTAATTATTTACGCCTGGCAACCACTGCTTTTCATTTCGTTTTAGAAACCGCTTGTATATGTATTAGCGAGCCTATTCTGATTCGGACCTGAGGAATGACGTTTATCAGGGTTGCTAAATAACCCGAATAAATGTTACCAGCGCAACCGATGTTAACATATCGCGTGCATGACTTTACTCAAGCCAGAGATAATAGTCACATGTAATTTTAAATATGGGTTTTTTGAAATGTGTGGCTTTTCGTGACACTAAACAAACATCCAAATCATCGGGGTTGCGCTTACATCAGGCATTAAATATCTAGTGATGAGGACAATATGAAAATTGTTGATCAAAATCGCAAAAATCGAGTTTCGGAGAATGAATGATGGCATTTTTTTAAAAATAAAACTTATATCAGGTTGAGCACACTTACCGCGGCCATGAAGATGGCCACATACTCCATTATTTTGCTTCTGAGTTTGAAGTGTTTGTCGTGAGCTCTATCGATAACTACATGAACTTCCGGTGAAACTGTGAGAGGGAAACCTAATGAAATAACACAAAAGTAGAAGCAGCCTTATAATTGTGAACCTAGTTAAGTCGTTGTTCATTTTGTTGAAGTTAGGTGTAGAAGACAGAGGCTATAATAGGATTATGTCGCAAGGTACGCACCCTGCGCGGCACAAATGAGCAAACATAATATCCCCACCTTTTTGCATAATACTTAGAGTTTAGGGGTTTTGACGCTCGTTTAGCGTGTTCCTCTGCATTGACATTTTTTGCACATTAATAGGGAGTTTTAGTAGACCGTGTTTCCCGCTCCGCTAACACTCCGCTACGAAGAAACCGCCACTGCGCCTGCGCGCCTATGGCCTTGGCTGTAGAGTTTTGGGTAGCGGAGGGGCTTAGCGGAGGGGGAAACACGGTCTACTAAAACTCGCTAATAGTTTCATGCCTACCATTCGATTTTCCCGCCGCATATAATGTACTGTAATTATAGGTCTTGGGTTGCCAAAGGCATGGTAGCGCTTTTTAGACGAGGACAAAGGAAAGAAAGACAAGACAGACACGAGCGCTGACTGCAACTATTTTATCAACATGGAAATGAAGCATATATACACGCTTCGATCCTAACAATCAGCCAACCCAGGCCTTGCCGCCGCTCGCATGAACTGCACCTCCTTATCGAAAAGGTCGATAGAAGCAACGCTGACACACCCCACCCCTGCCCTTTTTATCTCGTCCGCTTCGATAATTTCCCTAACCGTTCTATTTTTGTGTTTAGCCAGTACTGAGCATGAGTCAAGCAACGGTTTACATCCGCAGTCATGGCGATGCATTGAAAGGTGGCCATCCCGATAGATTGACGTTCAGACTATGTTCCCGGAGCCTGTCGTTCAGACATGTCCCAGTCTGACCTACATATTTCTTACCGCATGTTAACGGAATCTGATACACCACGCCCTCAACACAAACAACAAACAGATTTCTGTGCCTTATCACACAACCCAGCGAGGCTTCCCGGAAGGGTTTCGTCAAATGGCTCAACCTGGCTAGCTTTTCTGGCACAGAAAAGACCACCTTAGTTTCTATGCGGCTTGCTATTTTCTTTAGGTTATGCGCCGTCTTGTGCATTACTTAACCTCGTCTAAAAAGCGCTACCATGCCTTTGGCAACCCAAGACCAATACCAACTAGCCCAGCATTCAGCATTGATGTAACTATAGCTACATGTTTTCCGCAAGAGTAGTGTTTTTTTAATCCGCTTTCTACTTGCTCGTTCCACTTCATGGGCGCATTGGCGGCTGTTCGGTCGTTGTACAGTCGATCCGACCTTCAATTCTCATGGAAGTTTCAAAGGGGACAACATGTCAATAAGCACGCTGCGAATTGCGAACTAAGTTTGTCGGAGTCGCATTCTTTGTGTTCCGGTTTAAACGACATTTAGGATATTACGTGTGCTTTAAGAGCGTAAAAATGCAGATATCGGGTTTCGCCAGTGTGACTTTGCATTAATATATTTCCGCAGCGGTACACAAAAAGAGGTTACACAGCACTCAGATGTCTTAGAAATGTTATCCGACGTCACGGCACGCAAATGCTACGAAATGAGTGGCTGTTTCACAATGTGCTTAGTGATCGTGATATATAACAGGCGTCTCAGACGCGCGGCCCGCGACTCTCGGGGACGCGACCCGCAAACATCCCGCGGCTGCGATCCCCCGTTCCCATGCCTCAACCGCATGGGACCGGGGGATCGCAGTACCACAGCACTCGTGCTCGATCTCGGAGCTCCGACCGCCATCTTTAGTGAGGCAGAAAAGTTCGGCTTCACGGCTTTCTTATCTGAGAGGTGTTGGTTTGGTAGGTTCCGTCACGTGACGAGTAGTTGAAACGATGGCCGCTAGGACAGCGTCCCTCCGCCAAAGTTGGGCTCTCAAGCTCGGCGGTGGATGGAGAGCACCGCGCGTAAGGCAACCCCTTCCCTTCCACAGTTTGTGGAGGTTTGTAACGTTCCATATTAATTTTCTCCAGTCTTGCGACCGTCTACCACCCAATTCTCAAGGCCTCCTCGAGCCAATCAGAGTGATGGAGGCGAAGCACGTGACAGGTCTTTCCAGAGGTACACGGGCAAGCGCGTAACTCAAGTACTTGGAGAAGAGGAGGAGGAGGAAGTCCACTCTTACCCGTCGCTTTTGTTCCCCCCGGAGATGAGCCTGTGACTCAAAATTCGTAGTAATGTGGCTTTTTTTTTTTTTTTTTTTTGCCACCCGTGGTTTTGACATTAATGTGCTCAACTATTGAGATAGAGTACGGTTAAGTGCTTTCTTCAGGCATGCTGATTGGCTGACAGGGACCGTAGCCTTCGCCGTTTGCCAAGTTGCGGTGGGTCAGAGCATTGTGTCTGATGTCGGCGCGCGAAACAGGACCCTGCAGTCGCTGTGCGTTTTTTTTTATTCAGTTAAGATGTTGGGGTGATAATGAAGAGGACTGTAGATCAAGTCAACACATCATAATATACATTTCCCGAACAAGTTCTAGATGAAATTAGTTTGGAATTCATTCTTGACTTTCTTGTTATTTACAATTTATCTGTATACCCTTCTAACGGGACATGAATAGGGTTCGACCTGGGGTTTCGCACTTGTGCAGGGAAAATACAAAATCGTATTTTTTCTGTGAGGGAAGTTTCTACAATAACTTGCCAAAAACAATCCTCCGTAAAAAAAAAAAAAAAAAAAAAAAAAAAACCACAACGAGAAATGCGTTTTATTAACTGAATAATCCGTGATGTTTCTGAGTGCCTTGTGCATGTACCAACTTAAATCCTGAAGTTACGTCACAAGGTGTTGGCACTTAGCGTGTAATCTTAGGGTGAAATCTTAGCGTGCGTGATGTTTGGTAGCTAGTTAAAAAAAGAAAAGATTTTCGCCAAATATGCTTTGTGTTTGTCCATATTTAGAAACCACAAAAAGAGGCGCAATAAAGTCTCGTTTTGGATAAGATATACTTCGTGACAATAAGGGGTATCATCTCAACAGAATCATCGATCATAACGAAACGTTTTGCAGTTGTATTTCGATTTATCGATCAAGCCGCTATATTAAGAATTTCGTTTTATGGGAAACGCAACGGGAACTAGCTCCCGTGCACAGGATGAGCCTTCCAGGCACGCGAGGGCTTCCAGGCACCCGAGGGCATGGAAACGTCCTCCTTCTGTACTGGAGGAACTGGATGTGGGCGGAGCGGACGGACGTGCCTCACATGCACTCCGTTTATCTCAACCTCCAGACCCGGACTCAGGGGACACACGCTCAAGCGGATTACACGATTCGATTAAGCTTTTCAAGCGGACAAAGAGGACACCAACATCAAGAACGTGAATGAATTTTTCCTCCTCACGCTAGAGAAGTTTTTCTGCAAAAGTATTCCAGGCGCCAAGGAGAGCGGTCGACCTCTCCGGGCTCCTCAAACCCCGGAGGAGAACGTGACCCTGGTATAAACATGGATGAAGAAAGAATAAAACAATTAAAACAGGGACAACAGAACCACATCTCTCAACTAGCAACAGACGAGTAAACTTTCAAAAGCGAGCAGCCGACTATACACCTTTCCATCGCTTATCACCCGGGCAAAAATGCCGAGTCACTGGGCTGTGGACGCAGGCGCAGCGTACGATATTTCGCAAAGGGAGCTATTGCGCGTGCTCAGAAGGCGTTCCACAGCCCAGCAAAGAAAAATGGCAGCTCGCGGACGGCGTTTATTGGAAAGGTCTATACCCAGTAGGAGTAGGGGAGAGAAGGGGGAGAGAAGGAAAGATAAGAAACGTGAAGTGCAAGTCAGGTTAGTTGGGTTATCTCGGATTTTAAAAATTCAACCTCAGTTTTCGTCAGCAGGAGGGAAGGGTTTGACACGTTGTTCGTGTCAAACCCTTCCCTCCTGCTGACAAAAACTGAGGGAAGGGTTTGACACGTTGTTCGTGTCAAACCCTTCCCTCCTGCTGACGAAAACTGAGGTTGAATTTTTAAAATCCGAGATAACCCTACTAACCTGACTTGCACTTCGCGTTTCTTATCTTTCCTTCTCTCCCCCTTCTCTCCCCTACTCCTACTGGGTATAGTCGGCTGCTCGCTTTTGAAAGTTTACTCGTCTGTTGCTAGTTGAAAGATGTGGTTGTGTTGTCCCTGTTTTAATTGTTTTATTCTTTCTTCATCCATGACTTCAACCAATACGCTCTTCTCCCAAGCATGATATAAACACCGCTTCACTCCGTTGGCCCGCCGCCGCCCGTTTGCCTCGGCGTCGGCTGCTCGCCAGCTCCGAGACGAAGGCGTCCGCTCGGACACCGATGTTCGTGGACAACCAAATGTGCGTTCAAGTTCAAGGAGATGACATATCACCAGAAGAATAGCTCAACGAAGCCGGATGGACGCTCGCGGGGGAGCGCATGTCGAGGCTGCGCCAGCGGACCCCCGCCAGCGGCAAGCCCGAAGGACCCGGCGGGAGTCAAACAAGCCCGAAATCGAAATTCAACAAGAACGTCAGAGCCTCGGTCATCAAGGCAGCATGCATGCCAGCCATGCCGCTGGAAGAGAGGAAGATAGTCGTCAGACCCAGAAGGGGGCTGGACATAGTCAAGACTGGCACCACCACCGTCGCCTCGTCCATACTCGCCGCGGTCAAGATCAAGAGCGAGGAAAGCGCCGCGAACACCATCTGCCCCAACATGCAACAGAAAATCATGGTCGTCAGCACATCGAACGAAGACAACGCGGCAAGGTACGCTAGAATCAAGGAAATCTCTATTCAAGGCAAACCCTACGAAGTCAGCGCATATCGCACGGCACCTCACGACACCGTAAAGGGTGTCATCAGAGGCATCCCCATCGACGCGAGCGCCGACGAGCCAGATAGGAACATCGTCAACGAGAGGAACGCGCTTGCAGTAGGCGCAAAGAGGTTCGGCAGCGCGACCACCGTGATCGTGGCGTTCCAGGGACCCAAGGTACCGAACTTCGTCCGATACGGAGTCACCCCGCTACCGTG